GCATTCATAATTTTGATTGTGTGAGGACAAGAACAAAAAAATAAATAAATAAATTCAGATGGGTAAAAATAGACTGTATACTGAACTGGATTTCACATCCTCACATATTTATGCATTATTCCAAAAAAAGCAGCAAAATCAATAACACTAGTAGTTTGATTTAGGATTTAATTATGATTTTTTTTTACTATGTGGCAACAATGGTCAATGAGTTAGAAGAATACAAAACATGCAGAACTGAACAACAATTTAATTCATGGAATGGTCAGTTTAACAAAAAACTTCTTGTTGTATGTCATAAAGCACTTTCAGCTTCTTCCTCAGTCTTTGGTACAAACACAAAGCTGGATTTCAGCTTGAAAGAGTGGCTGAAAATCTGTCGACCACTCTGCAGCAGCTGTTTGAACTGATCGACCATTTCCTCATATACATACAGGTAAACCGGCGGGTTAAGAGCACTGTTCAGACTCACAAGACCACGGCTTACATAGCGAGTATTGAAGACTCCAGAGTCCCATTCGGGGCATGTTCCCTCACTAATTAAAACTCTGGAATACAGGCTGAGGTTCTTGAAAACATGGTAGGGTGCATAACAAAATGAGAAGAGAAGAATCAAAAAGCCAGTTCAGCTCTTCACCTCTGAGGCTCCTCTTACAAAATGAAGATGGAGTCGACAAAAACAACTTAACTCCCTCCTTGAACTCAAGTTTAGCAGTAACCACAATTATCTCCTTAATTAAAAATTACCTCAAGACCCTTTCCTGTCAGTTGGATGGCCTGGCATAAGCCCAGAACTAAATTTGACAGAACATCTATGAGTTTACCTGAAGAGGGCTGTGAAAAAGTAATGTCCTTTGGTGTAACATCTGTTCTTTTTCTGGTGTTTTAATATGTCTTACAACAATCTGTTTCCCCATCAATATGCCTCGCATACGTACAGCCATACAGTCGTGCAGCCTGTCAGCCTGTATCCAAAGTGCTCTAACTCCACACATCAGCAACTAGAGCATGGATCTGAAACCTGAGGATCCGGACCCGTAAGTAGCTCTATGGACCTCCTCCAACACCTCCTAATAATTTGACTTAAACAGTTCAAAACCTAAAATATAGATGTAACAAACGCAGTATTTTTTCCTCTTTGTTTTTGTGTGGAAAAGAATCCTGCATCAAATGGTCATTAAAGTTCCAGTAATGTTTTATTGTACCAATTCTCTTTTTGTAAATGTTTTACATTTTTATTTTCTTTTAAGACCCAAACATAGAAATAAAATTGTGTTTTTCTTCAATGACCACAAATTTTCTCTGCATATATTTATTTTAAAAAAAATTTAAGGAAGAAAAATATTTGGGAAAGTGAACACTATAATGTTAGAAAGACTGGGATCAGTGTGAGTGGATGTCTGAGTATCGCCTGGACCTATTTACACTGATGTATTCATGAAAGGAAGTAAGTGTTGTTTAACGTTTTACTGCTATATTCATCATGTGTTGTTTATGAATCTAACCATTAGAGTAGGTGATTATTGTTCTAATGTTACTAATGCCAATGTTTGTTTTTTGGCTGTTTTTTTGGCCGTTGCCTCATGTTGTTATAAATAATTTGCTGTTGCTATGAGTAATGGTTACAGTAAATTGTTAATATGCTGTTGTGGTGCTGACAGTTAAATATGGCAAATGCTGAAAAGTATGTCACCTATTCGTGCTGTGAAGACAATTATTTCACACAAATAATGTTTTTTATTTGTTTATTATTTGTGTATTTCTTTATTTTCTGCTAACAGATCACACACACGCACACACGTATATATACAAATCCTCATGTCAGCCACTTTAACCAGTGTTAAAGGTTAATGTAAGAAGAATATTCTGCAAATGAACTAGGAAAAAATACCTTAAGGAACGAATCAATATGGCAGAAACTATGAAGCATGAATTACTGAAACAGTAAAAGTAATTACTATCTACCTAGGAAGTTACTCAAGTGAAAGTAAAAAAAAACATTTGGTAAAAAGGCCTATTCAAGTACTAAGCAACTGACAAGAACATCTGATTTAATATTTTAAAATGATATCATCAGGCAGACAAAAAGTATTGTGGCAGAAACTATGAAGTAGTTAAATAAAAAAATTAAATAAAAATAAAAAAAAACAACAAAAAAACACTTTTCCAAATAATTTCTTCAATATAACACAGGGTAAAGAATTTCCAGTGACAATGTAGTGTTTACTGTAAAGTTTTCACATTCAAATGTCTCAAAAAAGATTTACTCAAGTAAGACGAGTGATACTTCATAGTAATATTACTCAAGTAAAAGTAAAAAGTATTTTCCCAAAATGTTACCTAAGTAAATGTAACAAAGTAAAAGCTATTAGCTACTACGTACTTCTGCCGAAAACAAAAGGCAAATACTTAAGAATTGTGACAACTCAAACATCCTGGCTTGGCGAAGCCAATTCCAGATAGTGACATCAGAGCAACTGAGCAGGACAACTGATGAGTGTGTTTGTGTGTCTGTATATATATACATAAACTGTTATTCCCGTACAGCAGTGACGGTGAAACTAGTTTGGCTTGATTTCAACAAGAGTCAACATGTAGAAGTGAAACATTGGAAACATGGACGGTTTAACAGAAAACCGCCTGCTGTCATAAAGCACGTTCAACGTCTTGCTCAGTCTGTGGTACAGACACAAAGCTGGATTTCAGTTTGAATGAACGACTGAAAATCTGTCGACATCCCTGCAGCAGCAGCCTAAACTGAACACCCATATCTTCATCTACATGAAGGTAAACCAGCGGGTTAAGAGCACTGTTCAGGCTCACAACACCACGGCTTGCCTGACGGGCAACATAAACCCCAGAATCCCATGCGGCGCATTTGCTCAGATTTTTCAGAACTCTGGAATACAGATTGAGGTTCTTGAAAACATGGTAAGGTGCATAACAAAGAGAGAAGAGAAGAATCAAAAAAACCATCAGCTTAAAAATCTGTTTTGTGACATTTTTTATTGTATCTGAGCGGCAAACAACAACAGTCACATGTCCGTAGCAACCCACAATGATGGCGAAAGGGATGCAGAATCCAAAGAATGTCCAGCTGAGGCTATAGTTCAAGTATGCCGTAACGTTTTTTGAACTAGTCGTATCAAAACATCGTTCGGTCTTATTCCCTGAATGTTTTGGGAACAACATGTCTGGAGAACTTTCAACATTCACCAGAATCCACACCAGGACGGAGATGACCACAGAAAGAGTCGTAGTTAATTTCCCCATTACTTTCATTGGATGGACAACAGCCAAGTACCGGTACACACATATACAGGTGAGGAATCCAATGCTGCCGTATAAGTTCAGGTTGAAGCAGAATCTTGTTACCAAGCAGAATCCTTCTCCAAAGGTCCATTTAGTTTCATTAAGGTAGTAAAAGACGAGAAAGGGGTGAGTCAGCAGATACAACATGTCTGCTAGTCCAAGGTTAAGAACAAAGATGTTAATACTCCGAAGTTTGTTCCAGTTATGCAGCAAAGATATCATTCCCCATACATTCAGGACCAATCCAACAACAAAAACAAAATGTAAAGAGCAGGCAGGACTCTCTGTTCAAATAACCTATCCAGTGTGCAGTTCGTTTTATTCATGTTATCTTCCAGAAACACGTCTTGTCTGCCCTTCTCTGAGGCGCTGCTTGCAAAATGAAAACAGAGTAACAAAAACAACCTGAATAACTTCCTCCTTGAGTTAAAGTTATGCTGCTTGTACAGCTGCCAGTGCAAACAGTTAGCTCAGGTTTTATAGATTTGAAACTCAAAGACAGCAAAACCCGTTTACCGACATTTTATTTAAACAAGACAGGAATCACCATAGTAGAAGTAGCAGATAAACTGAAAGGAATATTCTAAACATAAACCCGTGTGGTTTAAGCTGACATTGAGTTGAAAAGTAGCTGATGGATATAATCTGGAATGTATGGTGAAAATAGCAGATTATTTGAATCCAAGTCTTCTATTGAGTATTTTCAAGGAATGTTGGAAATTGAATAAAATCCATGCCATTTATTTCTGTTTTCCTTATTTGCCATGCTTAGAGAAATGCAAATACCAGTGAATTATTTTTTTACAGACTGCTGTAGTAGCAGATAAAATGCTTGAACTGTATGTGGTCGATAACTTTGATTCCTTGAAAATAAGTCTGGTAAAGTTGGCCTCAGGTCTAAAATCTTAACAGATCATGCTGTTTCCACATAATGACTGGCATAGATAAGAAAAACGGATACAATTCAATGAATGAAATTGTCTAGATCAGAATTTCTGACGTGCAAATCAGAGAAACAGCCATAACCCTTGAATTTAGAAATCTAGTTTAAAAATTCAGGAAGAGTTCAATAATGTGTTTATTTGCACTCATAACATCCTATTTCTGACGCAAACTCAGCTCATCAGCGACAGATATCAGCAATCGACAGTCTACGTTTTCAGTCATGGGAGTCGAATTCTGTCGAATGCGGAATCCTTGGAGGGGGGAAGTGGCGGCGCGGGGGAGCAGGAGGTGTTAACGACTCTACTTGGCATACGAATAGCCCTAGCATATGCAAAGGCACTTCAGCAGACCCACGTGGATTCTCAGTCATTGGATGAAAAACAATGACATCACAGTTCACCACTGACATGTGATTGGTTGATGTGCTGCCCATTGGACAGCACTTATGACTTTATAAATAAACCCTGCCCCAATCATTAATATTTTTAATGTTGTATTTTAAAAAATCTATATAAAAATAAATGCTGTATTGTATAAGCATTTGATATTGCTTATATGCAACATGTTCATATATGAGGAACATAAAAGAGACAAAGAAGTTTTTTTTTTATCTTTATTTCATTTTATTTTTTACTGTTTGCACACAAAATAAGATATAAATGCTTGTCCATTTCTGGACCATCTGGCAGTGTTTTTTTTGTCCAAACATTATGCTGCGTTCAGGACAGGCCCAACATCTCTCCTGCAGCATAGACCTGACGTCTCTTTCTGTAATGTAATCCTGATGTCACTGAGCTCCTGGTTGGAGGAACTTGGGGTCCATCCTGACACCGCCTCATAGCTGCCATCCTCCCAGAATGCCACCTCCTCTGCTGCCAGTACTCTCTGCCTTCCTCCATCAGCTGTTAATACAGAACAGACAATCATTATGAGCTACAGGCATCTTTTAGTCATTATGAAACTACAGTGAAATTGTTTGGCAACTTTCAGCTTAGTATGCACACATGAGACATAAAAACAAAAACAAAAAAAAACACAATACATTCTTACAAAAAAATAAAAACTAATGAAAAAGAGAAAACACTTGGAAGAAAAAATAATTAAAAGCAGTTGGTAATAAATAGCAAAACATAGTTCAACAAACTCTGAGGCAGATAATTTGCTTTGATGGATTTTAATAAATCACAGTGCTTTAATCACTCAAGGAATTGTGACATCTCTAGATTAGTAATAAATCTTACCTGCATCTTTATTTAGCTACATCCAGATGACTGGCAGTAGGTCCTGGATGCAGCTGGAAAACATTTTTGTGCATTGTCAATACATAGCATAATTACATTTTGCACATAAATATTGAAGCATAAAACAACATTCTAAAATAGTAGATACTCACACACAGTTGCATCTCTGTCCTCGTCACGGATATCAGGACGTTCCTGAAGAGTCTGATTGACACAAATGTGACTCCCATTCTGTGGAGTCTGTGGAAATAAATGTAAAATAAAAAAAAAAAAAAGATTGTAGCAAATCTATCGCTTTCTCAATGAACCACTCTGGAACATGTTTTTTATCATTTTTGATTAAGTTGTGCAATTCCTCCCATCACAAGATAAATCTTCAGATAAGAGGAATGTCAAAGTAAGATCACGTTTCACAAAAGTCTACTGTATGCAATCATGCATATTCTTTTATATCATCAATTCAACCAAAACTAAGTTTTTCAGTGCTCCTAACACACATGTAATATATATTTTAATGGATAAGATAGATTGTTTTAATATTCTTTCTCCAAACATACGTCTTTATGGTGAACAAGGGTTCTTTATGGTAACAAGGGTTAGCTATAAAATAAATAAAAGTCAAAAGGCAGTGCTCAACAGTTGATTTGCATTTGCATGGCACTCAGCAACTTCATTTAAATACGAAAACCTCTGCTAGGCACAAGGGGAAAGGGGTGATGGAGGAACACGGACAAACTGCATTTTTGGCAGTGCTCAACTCTGACAAAAACCTCTTGCCGAAAGCCTCTCCATGCGCACGGCAGAACAAGGTGTCAATAGCTGCCGAAAATCCCATTTTTCGTCCTGTGAAATGAATCCACTTTAAACAAGACAAATTCAATACTAGCAGTGTGTTTGTTACAACATCCTTATTATATTTTAAAAATTAACTTTTTTCTCCACTTTGAAGTTGCACTCATGATAAAACTGTCCTATTTTGGCCATATGTAGACCATCTGTAAAATAGAAAGTTGTGCTGCAAATGCTTTATCCACCTGTTGCTACAAATAATGTATACCAAAAGGTAAATAGTAGGCAGTAGTTTTTTCAGATAATTCATCATTTAATGCACTGCTGGTTTTATTAATTTTGATTCCTAGAAACAAGTCGGTTCAACCCCCGTCCCGTGAGGTGAAACTCACTTGCAAGGGAGAATAGTTTCGCTTAAGTTCTTATTTAATTATTAATTTTCTAGAATCTCTGAAAGTAAACAAGTTAACCAATTAACCAAATAAAAGCAAATAGAACAGACCACAAATTTCAATCATGACATGGTCAATTTAAAAAGAAATATTACCATAAAGCACTTTCTGTCATGATGTGGTTTGTTGAGGTGAGGACGCGGATGCAGGCAGACCCAGGATGTATGTGAAAATGATGAATTTAATGATGATTTCCAGGGAACAGCACGGAGAAACAGGCGACATACGACAAGGATCCAACGAGAGACGAGGACAACAGGTGGGTTTAAATACACACGGGGTAATCAAGGGGATGAGACACACCTGGGAAACAATCAACGGGAGGACAGGACAGAGACTACAGGAAAACGGGACTGAAAAAATAAACACAGAAACACGAATCATGACACTTTCAGCTTCTTCCTCACACTGGCTCAGAGCTGGATTTCAGCTTGAAACAACTGAACATCGGTTGACATCCCTGCAGCAGCTGCCTGAACTGAGTATCCATGTCCTCAGAAACACACAGGTAAACCAGCGGGTTAACAGCACTATTCAGGCTCACAAGACCAAAACTTACAATACGTGCATTATATACTCCATTAATCCACGTACGACATTCCTTCTGCTTAATCAAAACTCTGGAATACAGACTGAGGTTCTTGAAAACATGGAAGGGTGCATAAGAAAAAGTAAATAAAAGAATCAAAAAAACCAACAGCTTTAAGATTTGTTGTTTCTGGTTCTTCTTCATCATATCTGAGCAGGAGATCACAACAATCACATGTCCATAGCAGCCCACAATGACGATAAAAGGGATGCAGAATCCAATGAACGTCCAGCAGAGGCTGTAGGTCAGGTATTTCTCAACATTGTCTGAATCAGTTGTATCATAACACGCTGAAGAGTTCTCTGAATATTTGGGGAATGACAAGTCTGGAAAACTTATGACACTCGCCAGAATCCACATCACAACTGAGATGACCACAGAGTGAGTTGTAGCTAATCTCCCCATCGTTCTCATTGGATGAACAACAGCCAGGTACCGGTACACACTGATACAGGTGAGAAATCCAATGCTGCCGTATAAATTCAGGTAGAAGCAGAATCTTGCTACCAAGCAGAATCCTTTTCCAAAGATCCAGTCATTCTTATTAATGTAGTACACAAGAAATGGGTGAGTCAGCAGATACAACATGTCTGCTACTTCAAGGTTAAGAACAAGGATGGTAATAATCCTAAGTTTCTTCCAGTTGTGTACCAAACACTTCATTCCACATAAATTCAGTAGCAATCCAACAACAAAAACCAAGATGTAAAGAGTAGTCAGAAGTGTATTCATAAATTCCTCCTTCTTCGGTTCAGTACAGTTGGTTGTATTCATTGTGGCTTCCAGAAACAAGTCCCGTCTGTCCTTCTCTTCTGAGGCTCTGCTCACAACAGGAGGATAGAAAGTAAGCAAAGCACCTAGAAAGCTCCCTTCTTGAACATCAGTGGAGCCGCAGACAAGCCCAACAATGTTTCGGATAAAAGCAACATAACAGCACAGAAAATACCTGAACTCTAAGAGGGCGTTAACTTTGAATCAGAGAAGACGAGTGGTTTCACGACTAATGTTGGCTTCCAGCCCAACATTTTAACAGATAATGCTGCTTCGACATAACAGCTGGTACATAAAAGAAAGACAAACACAAATCAATGAATAAGTCATTTTCAGATGTCGTGAAAATAATCTGAATTTTTGACACCAACTTCCCCTGCATTAAAAATTCCAGCTTAAAAATTCAATCCAAGTGAAAAGTTTAATAATGTGTTTCAGTGTCACACAATGTACATTAAAACCTCTTTTAGCAAAACCGTATTGAGTGATGGAATAAGTAAAGGACACATAAATCTATTGTTAACGGCTCATACTGCTAAAAGTAATTAGTCTGGTTACTGAGCATGACGAGCAAATTCCACTCATTTTCTAGTAGGCAATGTGATATTTCAGAGATCTGACCTACAATAGAAATATACTAAGCTAACAAGAAATTTGTTAATTTTCCTTTCGATGTCTTTCTTCTTGCCTCTCTTCCATAAAGACACATTTGTGCAGTGAATGACTAATAGTTGTCCTGTGGATCTCTGTATTTCGTCCAGGGCCTCTTGGCTCCATCTCTGATCAGTGCTCTCCTTGTTCGGCCTGTAAGTTTAGGTGGACAGGCTAGTCTTGGTAGGTTTACACTTGTATCGTACTCTTTCATCAGAGCATGGGAAATCTTTTTATAGCCTAAGCCTGTTTTAAACTTCTCCTCAACTTTATCTCTGACCCATCTGGTGGGTTCCTTGGGCTTCATCATGCCGTTTTCTCCCCAATATTCTCTTCACTAACCTCTGAGGTCGTCACAGAGCAAGTAGCTGTATTTGTACTGAGATTAGACTACACACAGGTGGACTCTCTTTAGCCATTAGCAGCCATCAGGGCACTTCTGAAGGCAATTATTTGCACTCAGAGAAAAGTGGGCTGACTATATCTGAACATTGCACTTTTCAGTTTTTTATTTGTAAAATGTTTTGCTGCACATTGTATACTAAATTGTGTTGGTTTTTGTTGTAATATAACAAAATATGGAAAAGTTCGAGGGGTGTGAACATTTTTGCAAGTCACTGTGCAGTGGAACAGATAAAGTTCCACTGTAGTTTGACAGCTAAAGTTGGCTTCCAGCCCAACATCTTAACAGATCCTGCTGCTTCCACAGAACAGCTAGAACACAGAAGAAAGACAAACAGACAAAACAGACAGACAATCTTTTTCAAATGTCTTGGGGGGGAAAAATCTGTATTTCTGAAATCTATGTCAGAGAAACAGCAAAACCTCCTGAATTTAAAATTTCAGCTGAAAAATTCAAGTATAAGTGAAGAGTTCAATAATGTGTTTGTGTTAACTCATGACACCTTATTTCTTATTAAATCAGTGTCACACAATGTACTGTAAAAAAAATCTGTTTTAGAGTACTGCAAATCCTATTGGTTTTCTAGTAAGCAGTTGATTTCAGAGATTGTATCAACAGTAGAAGTTGATTTTTTTTTGTGGAATCCTGACTTGGAAAGTCAAACCCCCAAACTTGAAAATACAATAGGCATGTTGCATGAAAAAGGCAACTGCAATAGACAACTGTTAATTTCCACTCATGCAGATTCATATTTCATTCTTGTACTGCAACATAATGATAACAATTTCAAAATATTTTTTCTATGAACAGTTTCTAAAAATCAACAAAATGTTGTAAAACCCAGTCCAAATTGTTACAATCCACCTAAAGCTACTTTTTCCAGCTCAAGGTGTGTTCAAAAGCCGCTCAATCTGGCATTACTGGGAGGCATTACTGCCCAGCCCCGCCTTTCAGTGGAAACCTGCAGCGTCACCAACAAAGAAAAAAACCACAGAGACAAAAACAACTCAGTTCCCTGACAAGGAGCTACTTCCAAAAACAAAAGTGGAATAAATATTGGGGAATAGTCTGCCAACTAAGCATGATATGCAAGAAAATTCTTGCCCCTACATGTAAAAAGGAAAACGTGTTTATCTATTTGAGGAGGAAAAAACAGTTGCATTACAACAACACGATGGTGGGGAAGCAGGAGTTGGCAGCATGTTTGGACAACCTGTTCATAGAAACTATCAGTACCAGTAATTATTTCTCATTTCAGGAAATCTTGAATGAGAACTTCTAGCAATCAATTTGTGAACTTCACCATGAATAAACTTCAATTTTTCAGCAGGACAATAATCCATTACTGTCATAGCAACCCAACCCAACTTTTAATATCAAAAAGTAATAAGAAATTGTCCTTGTCAAATTCTGAGCTAAGATCTTGCTTAACCTCATTCAATGATGCCACATTATAACATATTTTAAAAAGAATGGGCCAAAAACTCTAGACCCTGATTAAAAGGTCAGATTAATAATCCAGCATAGATAGAAGTAACTGCCACATAGGAAATGAAGACAAATCAGTTTTGGGGGGTTTGGAAGGAAAGAACCTTTTCACACAGGATAATGTTTCTTTCTATTTTAATACAAGATCATTTGAAACCTGTATTTTGTTTTTACTCAGGACTTTGTCTTTTATTACATTTTATTATTACGTGTTAGATGATCACAATTTGAAAAAAAAAATGAAAAAAAAAACAATAAAAATATGCAAGACGATTAAAAAGATTCAAAAACTGTATTTATCATTTTGACCATATGAAGATAGGGTCATATATCACAAGAAAAAAAATTATTAAAATTGGTTAAAATAAAATTCACAATTCTAAAATTGTTACAGGAGTACAGCAGTGACAACGAAATTTGTTTGCTTAACTTCTTATTTAATTACTAATTTCTAGCATGTGGCAGGAAGTGTTGGGATCTGGAGCTGTTTCATCCACCAGAGGGCGCCGGAGGCTTTGTTCCACCTGAGGACGTCTGCAGACCTACTAACTGTTCTGCCATCAGGAGCTGTATAACTAGAGGAGGCTGCCGACACTTCCCTGCCAGATTGTTAGCCAGTTATGGTACAGGCTTACCTCAGGTCAATTCTTTCTGGTCTCTTCCAGAATTCTGACCCTCTTGTGTCTCTGACTGTTTACAGCTGGTTGTCCTGTGAAGTGCTGGAGAAAGCAGATACTGCCAAAGATCGTCTGGACCTACAGATCGGCAGTCTCCCTCCGAGCAGAAACAGTTCAAGCTCCCAGACTTACCTGTCCGTCCTTCAACGCCGCCGCAGCCCGCAATCCTACCTCAATCGGACTCCGGATTCCACTGGATTTCCCCCCAGTCCTTTTTCCTCCCGATTGGAGGTAAGATCGCCACCAGCACCATCTCCAATTTCCCACGACCTCAAACTTACCGTCTGTTTTCTCTCATAGTTGACCTGAGTTCCAGTCCAAACGGACCCGGATTGTTTTCCTGTGTTTATTTGCCATTTTTGTTGTAATAAATCACTTAAATCATTCTCGGTCTCTGGAGTTGATCTGCATGTGGGTTAGAAAGTTAGACCCCAACATGACAGGAAGAGTCAAATTAGACAAATACAAAGGATACTGAACTGAACAAAAATTTCACTCATGTTATGGTCAATTAAAAAAAAAAATGTCATAAAGCACTTTCAGCTTCTTCCTCAGTGTGTGGTACTGGCTGAGAGCTGGATTTCAGCTTGAAACAACTGAACATCTGTCCACATCGCTGCAGCAGCTGCCTGAACTGAGCACTCATGTCCTCATTAACACACATGTAAACCAGCGGGTTAAGAGCACTGTTCAGGCCCACAAGACCACGACTTACAACATGTGCAAGAAAGACTCCATGATACCATTGGGGGCAGTTTCCCTCATAATAGAGATTTGGCATGCAGACTGAGGTTCTTTAAAACATGGTAGGGTGTGTAACAAAGCGAGAAGAATCAAAATAAGCAGGAGTTTTAAGATTTGTCCTTTCATGTCCTTTTTCATCATATTTGAGCAGCAAATAAGAGTCACATGTCCATAGCAGCCTGCAATGGACATGCAGGCTGCTGTCCATTGCAGGCAGCCTGCAATGATCACATTTGGTGTATTTGTTGCTTGGGGATGCATTTGTTGCTTGGGGATGCATCCAAAAATATGAAAAAATAAATCATACAATAGCTCGATGGGTACATTTAGACTCTGTCAATATTTCATACAAATGTGGTTGTTTTGAATGTGTGAAAACTAGACGGATGCATAGCACCTAAAGGATGATCCCCATTGTCATCCAAAGATTGTCCAGTTGAGGCTGTAGATTCAGTATTCTGCAATTTTCCCGTGAAGCGTTGCAGCAAAACATAGTTTTCTGGCGCCATTAATTTGAAGTTTGGGGTAGATTGCATCTGGAAGACTTCCAACACACGCCAGAATCCACACCACAACAGAGATGACCACAGAGTGAGTAGCAGTTAATTTCCCCATTACTTTCATTGGATGGACAATGGACAGGTACCGGTACACACTGATACATGTGAGGAATCCGATGCTGCTGTATAAATTCAGTTTAAAGCAGAACCTTGTTACCTGACAGAAAGACTCTCCAAGTTTCCACCTGTATCCTTCAAGGTAGTAATGGATTAGTAAGGGTTGAGAGAGAGAATATACAACAGGTTCACTAGTCCAAGGTTAATAACAAAGACTTTAATAATCTGATGTTTTTTCCAGTTACGCACCAAACACCTTGCTCCCAATGCATTGATGACCAGAACAACAACAAATATCAAGATGGACAAAGCAGGCAGGACTTTATCGTTATTGGGAAATTCATCTTCCAGGGTACAGTTGGTTACAGTCATGTTGTCTTTCAGAAACAAGTCCTGTCTGCACTTCTCTTCTGAGACTCACTCACAAAATGTAGATAGAAAGTAAGAAAACAACCTAAATAGCTTTGTCCTTGACCATCAGTTAAGCCACAGACAAGCCCAACATCCTGTGTGTTAAAGCTTAATAGCACATCAAACCTAACCTATATGTGGATGTTAACTTTCCGAGAAGTCTGGTTTCACAACTAAAGTTGGCTACCAGCTCAACATTTTAACATATCATGCTGATTCCAGATAAAAGCTAGCACATTTTTTTAATCTCTTTATCTTTACTTTAATTTCTTTTTATTTCTCTTTCTCACTGTTTCTTTTTCTTAAAATCTCTCTCTTATTGTTTATTCAATGTCACATGCTGTTTTTATTTTAATTATGTATAGCACTTTGAAATGCATTGCTGCTGAAATGTGCTATACAAATAAAATTTGATTGATTGATGAAATTCCAGTTTAAAAGACACAATTCAATGAAATTATTTTCAAATGTCTTAAAAAACAGAATTTCTGACCTACTTCACCTGCATTAAAAATTCCAGCTTAAAAATCCAAGTATAAGTGAAGAGTTCAATAATGTGTTTGTGTGCACTCAAGTCACACCATTTCTTATTAAATCAGTGTCGCATAATATACTTTAAAACCTATTTTAGCAAAAGCTTATTTAGTGTTGGAATACATAAAAGACAGAAATTTATTTTTAACAGCTCAGTCTGCTAAAAGTAATTAGTCTGGTTACTGAGCATGACGAGCAAATTCCACTGGTTTTCTAGTAAGCAGTGTGACATTTCAGAAATCTGACCTACAACATAAATATGATAAACAAGAAATTAGATGATTTTCAGTCTGATGTCTTTCTTCTTGCCTCTCTTACATAATAACCATGTTTGTGCAAAGCATGACTAATAGTTACAAGCAGGGTGACCTGATATTGGCTGGAAAGCGCAACATCTCCCCTTTCAGAGACTGTTGGAAATTTTCAGATAGCGCAAAGTTAAATATTATAAATATTACAATCAAACTAAAGACAAGTGATCATATGAATCACTCTGACTGAGAATAACAAAACTGTTTATGGAAACTATAAGTACCAGTAACTAATGGTAATTTAAGGACATCTTGAAGGAGAATGTCCAGCAATCAGTTTGTGATCTTAAACATAAATACACTTCAATTATGCAGCAGGGCAATAATGCAAGTTCACAAAGTAGGATTTTTTTACTGTCATAGCAAACCAACTTTTAAAGTCTAAATATTAAATCTAAAAAATAATTTAGAGTGGTATTGTCAAATTCTGAGCTAAAATCTTGCTAAACTCCATCCAATGCAACCACATCATAACAAATGTATAGAGAAGAATGGGCCAAAAACTTTATACCACGATTAAAAGGCCAGATTAAAAATCCAGCACCGTAGATAGGACTAGCTGCCACCCAGGAAATGAAAACAATCCAGTTTATTTTGGGTTTGGAAGGAAAATTACTTTTTCACAAAGGATGATGTTTCTTTCTATTTTAATACAAAAATCATTTGAAACCTGCATGTTGTTTTTACTCAGGATTTTATTATTATGTGTATCACAATTTGAAATAAAGAAAAAACAGAAAAAATCTGCAAGAAAAAAGATTTAAAAAAAACTGTATTTATATGTTTGACATGTGCAGTTAGGGTCTAAAATCATTTTTACAAAATCATTAAAATTGGTTAAAATAAAATTCACAATTCTTATAATATTATTCCAGTACAGCAGTGACAATGACACTTAAATTAAACATCGCTTAATTTTTTTATTTAATTATTAATCTTATGGCATCTGACAAAGATTAAACAAGATAGACAAATACAAAGCATAGAGAACTGTACAAAAATGTCACTCATGACATGGTCAGTTTTACAAAAAAGAAAGAAAAAAAACATGTCACAAAGCAGGTTCAGCCTCTTTCTCAGCCTGTGGTACTGGTTCAGAGCTGGACTTCAGCTTGAAACAGCGACTGAACATTTCTCGATATTCCTGCAGTTGCTGCCTGAACTGAGCACCCACGTCCTCAGAAACACACATGTTAACCAGCGGGTTAAGAGCACTGTTCAGGCTCACAAGACCGCGACTTACATAACGTGCTATAGAGACATTATCATACCAATCGGGGCACTCTCCACTGCAACAACGAACTTTGGCATACACACTGAGGTTCTTCAAAACGTGGTAGGGTGTGTAACAAAGCGAAAAGAGAACAATCAAAACAACCAACAGTTTTAAGAGTTGTTGTTTCATTTCCTTCGTCATCGTATTTGAGCGGCAAATAACAAGAGTCACATGACCATAGCAGCCCGCAATGATGATGAAAGGGATGCAGAATCCAAAGACTGTCCAGGTGAGGTTGTAGTAAAAGTATTCCTCAATGTGATCTTTATCAGTGGCAGGAAGACATTCCTTGGATTCAGTGGTGTTCCCTGATTGTTTGGGGTAGATCACGTCTGGAAGACTTCCAACACTCGCCAGAATCCACACCAGGACTGAGATGACCACAGAGTGAGTCGTAGTTATTTTCCCCATCACTTTCATTGGATGGACGATGGACAGGTACCGATACACACTGATACATGCGAGGAATCCAATGCTGCCATATAAATTCAGTTTAAAGCAGAATCTTGTTACCTTGCAGAAAAATTGTCCAAAGTCCCACTTGTTCCCTTTAAGGTAGAGATCGATTATAAAGGGGTGAGTGAGAATATACAACAGGTTTGCTAGTCCAAGGTTAATAATAAAGATGTTAATAATCCGATGTTTCTTCCAGTTACGCACCAAACACCTCGTCCCACATGCATTAATGACTACCACAACAACAAATACCAAGATGTAAAAAGTAGGCAGGAGCACTGCATCTTTAGAAAGGTTAGCTTCCTTTGTGCAGTTGGCTGCAGTCATTTTGTCTTCCAGTAACAAGTCCCGCATGTCCTTCTCTGAGGCTCTGCTCACAAAATGAAGATAGAAAGTAAGAAAACAACCTAAACCGCTTAGTTTTTAAACTTTAGTTAAGCCACAGACAAACCCAACATCCTGTGTGTTACAGCTTAATAGCATATCAAACCTAACCCGTATGTGGGTGTTAACTTTCCGAGAAGTCTGGTTTCACAACTAAAATTGGCTTCCAGCCTAACACTTTAACAGATCATGCTGCTGCCCCATAACGCCTGGTATAAAGACAAACAAACACAAATCAAGTCGTTTTCAGAAGTCTTGAAAAATCTGAATTTCTGAGGTATAATTCAAAGAAACAACTTCTCCTGAATTAAAAATCCCATCTTCAAAATCCAAGTACAAGAGAAGAGTTCAATAATGTGTTTGTGTGCACTCATGACACACTAATTCTTATTAAATCAATCTCACATTAAAACCTATTTTAGCAAAAGCTTATTTAGTGTTGGAATACATAAAAGACAGAAATCTATTTTTAACAGCTCATTCTGCTAAAAGTAATTAGTCTAGTTACTGAGCATGACGAGCAAATTCCACTGATTTTCTAGTAAGCAGTGTGACATTTCAGATATCTGACCTACAACATAAATATAATAAACAAGAAATTAAACGACTTTCAGTCTGATGTCTTTCTTCTTGCCTCTCTTCCATAATGACCATGTTTGTGCAGAGCATGACGTCTCTTGAGTATCTTGGAATTGAGGTAAAAGGCCACAAACGAACTTTGACACCAACTTTATACAAAACTCCAACATATGTGGAAAATTTCTTTACGGACTTGAATGAACTTCTATCTCTCATATGCATTGATTATGATTGTTTAATAATTGTCGGTGATTTCAACATTCATGTTGACAACCCCCAAGGCTTAGGGGCAAAAAAGCTCTGTAATATATTAGAGAGTTTTGGTTTAACACAAAATGTCAAACAAGCAACACACACTCATGGACACACACTGGACCTGGTTATCTGTAAGGGTGTGAATATTTCCAATGTTTCAGAAACAGATGTCGGCCTGTCGGATCACTTTGCTGTTATCTTTGACAGTTCTTTATCCGTTAACCCACTTGGACAAAAAGCTACTAACACAAAACGTACTTTCACAGAAAACACAGCAGAAACATTTAATCAAATCTACTCTTCTTCCTCACCCTTAAGCTATAATGACGTAGATAAGTTGGTAGATGATTTTCAGAACAAACTTTGAGACATCATTGATTACATTGCCCCCATTAAAGTGAAGGTTGTGTCTGGTAGGAAGAAATCTCCATGGAGAAATGCACAAACAGCTCAATCTGCAAGACAACTCTACGGTAGGGCCGAACGGAAATGGCGTAAAACTCAACTGCACGTTTATTATGACGTCTATAAAGAAAGACTACATAACTATCACACAACACTAAAACATGCAAGAGAGGCTTTCTTTGCAGATGTCATAAACAAAAACATTAACAATACTCGAGCTCTATTTGCTACTGTTGACAGGCTTAAAAATCCTCCTGTGATGCTGCCACCTGAACTTCAATCTAATGCTGCCTGCAACAAGTACTCCAGTTTCTTTTCAGAGAAAATTCAAAAGATCAGAGGATTAATCTGCACATTCACTCCAAAGCTAGTACCAATGCTATGCCCAAACAAAACAAAGGCAGGAAAAATTACCCAATTTCAACTACTTCATTATAAAACCCTAGAAGAAATTATAAGTCAATTAAGCTCCAGTTCCTGCTGTCTGGATGTCCTACCCACACATTTCTTTAAGAAAGTTTTGCCTGTTGTTGCTAAATATCTGATCCAAATAGTAAACTCATGGCTGTCTTCAGGTGAACCCATCCAATCACTGAATAGATGCTTAGAACAGATCAATGTGAGGATGTGCCACAACTTTCTCCAGCTGAACAGAAACAAAACTGAAATTATCTTTGGACCTAAAGAGGAGCGAACTAGAATCAATGCACAGCTTCAGTTATTACAACTGAAAACCAGCAATCAGGCCCGAACCCTGGGAGTAGTGATGGACTCTGACCTGAACCTTCAGAGCCACATTAAGATAGTCACAAAGTCGGCCTTCTATCACCTG